GCGTTCACTAAACCAGGATAACATGCATGGCCATAAACGCACGGGCTAAGAAGAGAACACAACTCAATGAAAAGATCTGGTGTGCTACACTGTCTGAGATAGGGTTCAAGAGTACCAGTTACCCTTACGAAATCGGAAGTGTAACCACTACGCTATGGTTCAAATCTTCGCGATAGCTTAGCTTATGCTCGATCTTACGAAACTGTTGATGCTCAGAGATAGTTTCAAAACTATTCAAGTGGGGGATTGTTGGAAATGAATGAATAGCTTTGAAAGCTATAGAGTCTCAAGGTGGAAAACTACCACATTGGTAGTTTTACTTGGTGAAATGTGTATAAAGATAGGAGCCTCTCCTAAGGGCATGCCCCTTAGGGTGACCCACTTTTGTGAGAGACAGAGGACCTAACAGACAACCACACACACGCGCGTCGTCCTTCCGACCGACCGGTCAGTCGGTCGATTGGTTGGTTGGTTCACTTGAGACTATATATTTTTGGAGAAATTCCGAACGAAATTAATTATTAGATAATTAATTATTAATCGGTAATTCGAAGGAATATTCTAAGGATAATCGATTAAAAACGAATATTCGAAGGATAATCCCGCCAGGAATTATCTTACATACGGGTTTTAATTAAGGAAGTAATTATCTTCCTTAATTAATCCAACTTATTCCCCAAGCAAGAGGGTATATTCCTAGGGGTTCGGCTCGTATAAATAGCTGCCTCCCCAGCCCCTCTAAACACACCACAATGAGCATAAACACAATAGAGAGAGTGTTCAGAGAGCTCTGGTTTTCGCACAAAACCGTCGAGCATTTGAGGACCTGTTTTATCCTGGAGAAGACCGGCTGATAGTCTGCCATGCGCATCGAAAGCAGTGTCGCAAACGTCTTAAAGAGAGCAACCTAGTTCGCGACTTAGCTCTAGATTCGGTAAACTCGTCCCTGTTTGTTGTTCCGTTCCTAACAGAGACTCATGAATGCCAACACTTAGGGAAGGTTCCAGAGGCGTAGGTTAGACTTGAAAACTAGTCATTGGGGTACAAACCCACGATTCATGAACTACTTGAGAGGTGAGTGGATATCATATGCGCAAAGGTGGGCTCATTGCTACACCAATTGTGTTTTCCATATTGGTAACACGAGCACAACACATGGTAGAGTTAGCTCACTCTTCCTTGAAGAAATGGCTTGCCAGTGCGACCCACAAGATCGACACTCTCTTTCTCAGATATCACACATCCATTGAGGGAAAAGTAATTGAGCTAAGAAAGGACTTGGAGGATTCGCGTTTGAAGGTATGTGTAGTTTTTCTTCAATGATGTTGATATTCCCCCGTATACTCAATTTGATTTTGACTTAGAAATTTGTTCTTTAAAATAGGTATTTAAATTGGTTGACGGTCCCATATGTTCACTTGAATATGGAAGTAAGCTTGTGGGCAATTGAGTTGTTGATGAAAGAACGAGCAAGAGAAATTATTGAGCGATGTGGATGTCGACTACATGAGACACATGGTCTACCATGTAAATGTAAGATGGATGCACTTAGTGATGTCGGCGTGGAGTTACACCCTCACAACTTACATCGATTCTGGTCATCTTTGGTGTATGAGTGTCCTCATGATGGTACAAAATTGGAGGACCATGATCAGGGGCGGACCCACGGGTGATTAAGGGTGTCCCCGGACACCCCTAAATTTTGGGAAAACGATTATCCAACACCGGTAGTAATTTACGTATTGACAAAAAAAATTATAATTGATAGTCGGGGACACCCCTAAATTTAAAAAAATGATTATCCTACTCTCATCTTTTAGTTTGAGTATGAGAATATAAGTCGTAGTTTGGGTAATTCAAACTTAGGACACTTTTATTATTAATAAACATAATTTTCATTAGGCTACAACTCATATGTTATTCGATTTTAAACACTGTGTAATAGTATAATGTCATTCTCTATCTCTAATTATTTTCAAAATCTAACAATTAAACAAATTTCAAACTACCCTTAATTTAATTTGTATTGATTTATGGTTGTACAACAAGTATTGAAAGAGTCTTTTCAGGTTTGGATTACATCAAGAACAAGTTTAGAAATTGAATATGTGATCAGTTCGTGAATGATTGTCTAATATGATATACAGAGACAATTTTTTTTGAATAGTGTAGACCCCAAGTGTGTTCTACAATCATTTTTTAATATGAAAACACATTGTGAATTTTTTTCAAACTGTATGAGTAAAGTATTTCTTATTTAAATATTATTTTTATTAATTATTTTAGAATTATTTGTATTTAATTTATTTTTTAAAAGAGGACACCCCTATGTAAAATTTCTGGGTCCGCCACTGACCATGATGCCATTGAGCATGACATTTTTGCAACCGTGGATGGAGGATGTGAACAAGTAAGCACCAGCTACTGTCTGGAAGGCATCTCAATTACTACGCCCTCATATTCGCCCACAAGTTGCAGGTCTACTAGACCCTAGGAAGTTAGAGGCTCCAAAGGGACGGCCATCAAAGAGATCGATGACTCGCTCTGACTATCACAATAAAATCCCACCTAAGGTCCAAGTATAAACCTTAGATGAGTACAATATAGGGCAAGTATGTTTACATATCAACCCAGGCGGGCCCATGTACCGCTACTTCGATGGTTTGGAACATTTTAGCGGATGGTTTTGGTGAAAACAAAGATCTAAAGCTAAAGTACTTGCAAAGAGAAATGGTTTTGACACTAATTGAGAAGGCTTCACCCGGGTGTTGTAAACCGTAGGGAAGTCTAACAGGTAGCCAAAGCTACCCTCTTAGTCTCTAGGTCGAGGAAAGGGGTACGATCCAAGCAACTAATGCGACTCTCTCAACCTATTGACTAAGGATTGGTTAGACTTCACCCTCGAATCGAATTTCGGACGGCCACCCACAACCAAACCCTAGGTGCTAATACAAAATAGGAGGTTTACCCTGCATTAACCTAACTAGGAGATAATGAATTGCCCGAGAAAACCTAGCATTCAAGTCTCTTTCAAAGAAAGAAAGGGGGGTTTCTCTCTACCTAGGTTAGAATGGCAATTAGATTGATAGGCTTTAACACAACACAATCATTCATGAATAATACCTCCACATTAAACACAACCACACACAAATCATTCAATTCATACAAACATTCACATAATTGTAGCTAGGGTTTACAAACACACAAGTGAAAGAAGGGACTACTCCATGCTAGGAGAAGGGAAAACACAAGAGAGAAGGAAAACCATCAAAGAGATGCTAGCCTTGCTCCTTGTGTCGAAGAGATCCTCCTTTGGGGGAGGAATTCCCAATTCCTTGCTTGGAGATGAAACACTAGCTTCTCCTCTTTTTTGGTTTGTCACTTTCTCACTCTAGAAATCTGAAGAAGAAGAAGAAGAAGAAGAAGAAGTTTCTCACACTAGGTCCCTCCCTCTTCTTCCTTTCAGCTGGCCTTTTATACTGAGATCGCACCCAGTTCACGGCCGTGAACATCAAGATTCGTCCGTGAACATCGTGAGCTTGATCAAAACGCACCACTTCACTTATGGGGTTCACGGTTTGTGGTTCATGTTCATGGTCTTAGCGACCGTGAACAGCCTTGGCGTCAGTAACTTCAAAAACCTCTCTGGACTCCTCGCGGTTCACGGGTTGTGGTTGCATTTCACGGTCCTGGCGACCGTGAACTCCAATGATGGACCGTGAATACAGGCTGAATCCTCCTCTTTACCCGGTCTTTGCTCCTTTTTTAGACTCTGAAACACACTGAAACACAAGAAACCTACCGTAAAACCACACCTTTTGGAGCTCAATTGCCACAAACATCAAAGAGAAAAGGGGATAAAAAGTGTACAATTAGACCTGAATCAGTCAAACACTAGAGATCTTTCTTGGTTTGAGCATGAGAGGACACAGTATGCAAAAAGGAGCAAAACAAATCAGAACACGAGAAAGACACACCAGAGGACTCTTGCAAGTTAGCAAAATTCTTATCTTTTTGGTGTAATCATACTCCTTGTTATGTAGTCGTTTACATCAGGGTTTTTTTTTCCAATATGAGGGTCTCGAAAAGTCAGCATATGCAAGTCCACAATGAGAGAAATGTTTTTCCTTATCTCCGCTATATCCCACCTAGCATCGACCCTCTTATTAGAGGTTGGTTTGACCCAAAACCAGACGGGCAATGTGGTTTTCGGGTGATGTCACATGTGATTTATGGAGAGGAGGAACAATACTTACAAATGAGGCAAAATCTTATCAAAAAAATCAATAATCATTGGCCTATCTACGAGAAAGTTTATATTTCCAGAGGTGTGGAGGCAGTACGTCACAAGTTGGATCATCAAACCATTGGGAGTTGCATCCGAGAGTATTGGTTTGAGGAGGTGGATTTGCTGACATTTGCAACCCTGTACAACTGTGCAATTGTTGTCTATGGACTGTATAATGAGTGACACACCTATGGGTACACTGTCTTACCTTTGACGGCATCGAAGGGGGTCACTCAGCCTAGTCAAGTTATGACAGTGGTTTTTACTGGAAGACATTGGTGTTAGAAACAAAGTTTCTAACGGGTTTGGGAATTGGGAAAATAGCTAGATCAAGTAGAGATTGACCGAGATAGGGATTAGAATTTAGAGAATTGGGACAAGAGAGGGGAAGGGAGGGATCGGCTGCTGCCGAGTTTGGGGAAGAGGAAGGGGGAAAGGGAACGCAGGAGGGAGAGGAAGAGAGAGAGAGTAGGTTTAGGTTTTTGATATTTTATTGCTTAATGCAAAAATAACTCCCTACTGCAGATTATATAATCCGCGTAATTCCTATCTCCTACCCAACCAAATAAACATAACAATCGACTCCCTGTTTATTGCCCGAATTCCCCAAATAATCCCCCAATTAACAAAACCGACAAATAAAGCGAATTAACCAAAAGCTGCAAATTATTTGTTTCTAACATCCCCGCCTCCTTGGAAAGCAACCTTGTCCTCAAGGTTGAAGCTTCTCTTGCCCTGCTCCAGAATCCTCCACCGCTTCGTCCTCGACCTCATCTTCCCAGCGCCCCACCAAGAACATTAGATCAGGCTTCCCGCATTTATGACCAAAGGTGAACCTCTCGTCGCAGTTAAAACATTTTCCTTCTCGCCCCTTTTGCTCGATCTCGGCAGGGGATAGCCTAGTAAATCCCTTGGGCGGTGCCCTCGGTCCTGCTAGAATGGCCGCGGTGGGTGGACCACTCGTCGCACCCCCTCCCGTGCTCGGACCCGGAGCCGGGACCCCCAGCCCACTACTCGGCCCGCTACCACTTCCTCCTCCGCTCGGCTTCTGATATCGGCCTATCACACCCCGCCAGCTAGCCAGTTCCTCCTCCTTATTACCTGCAAGACGGAAAACAGCTCGTAGTGAATCTGGCTCAAATACCCGGACATCAGCTGCAATCTCCGGACGGAGTCCCGCCATGCATAGGCCCACCAATGTCTCTTCTGGAACACCCTTGCATTGGTTACCCAGTTTGAAGAACTCGGCCCTATACTCCGCCACCGTCCCTGTCTGGCGCAGCTTGGCCAGCTGCTCCGGGGCCCACCCTTCAAATTTCCCGAACTGATACCGCAACTCCTCCTTAAACATCGGCCAAGTGATTAGCGTATGAGCTTCTGCATAGGTCCGCTCCATCCACTCCCACCAGTGCATCTCCCTCCAGGTAGAAGGAAGCTAGCTGAGCCTTTCGTTCTTCCCTAGTGGGGTGGTTCTTGAACCATCGCTCAGCTGAGTACAGCCACAGTCCTGCATCCTCACGAACATTGTATTTCGGAAACTCAATGGTGGGTGGCCGAGCTCGAAACACCATATCATCCTCTTCCTCCCCACCCCGGAAATAACCGGTATTTCTTCCACCGCTTGGGCCCCCACTGTGGTAGTGTTGTGTGAACCGTGGGTCCCCGTCACACCCCTAATCGTCCCCTTCATCCTCCTGGTACCCTGCTCTCCCGCTTAACTCACTCCTCGGCCTTCGATCACCCGTCCACGTCCTCCTGGGTTCCTTCCCGACGCCCCGCTGCATTGCAGAAGAAGGAAGGGGCCCACAGTACTCGTCGAACTGGCCTTGCGGACCCGGGTAGCCCCTGCTGCTCGCCTGGTTCGGATACCCCGACGGCTGGACCGGTTCGATCATGGTCCGACCAGTTTCGGCCCGACCAGTTTCGGTTGACCGGGTTTGGTCCGACCAGTCTCGGTCCGACCGGGTTTGGTCCGACCAGTCTCGGTCCGACCGGGTTTGGCCCGACCGCTGGGGACCCAGCTCGTCCCTGCTCGGCCCACGTCACCCCGGCCTGGTTGGTTTCGGCCCGCTGCTCCCGGCCGGCCCGACTCCCACCCGCGGCCCGTCTCCCTCCAACTTCCTCCCGGCCCGCCTTCCCACCGGGCTCGGCCCACCAGGCTGCCCTCCTCCCTTCTGCCATCCGCGCCCAGCCCACTCTACTCGTTGGGCCAAGGCCCGCGATCCATCTCCTGCTCCGGATCCACCAGCTCCTCCCAGTTCAGGCCCGCGTGCGGGTCCGGATCCACATACTAGGCCATCTTGGCCTTGCCACGCGCACGAGCCACCTCATGGGCCGATGGGGTAGGCAAAAGCCCATCCTTGCTCGTCGGGCCGAAAGAGACTTGGCCCGTACGCGAAACAGGGGGTCGGCTGGGGTTGATCGCCGCTGCCCCCCCTTCCGCCGAGACCTTCTCGGCTCCCTGGCCGCCGACCACCGCCACTGAGGCGGACTCCTCCGCCGCGCCTCTCTCCACCGGCGGCTTCCCGCCGTCGCCAGCTCCTGTCCCGCCTCTCTTCCAAGCCTCCGTCAGACTGCTCACCTGCCCCTACAACGCCTCCACAGCCGCCAACAACGCGTCGAGAGTGCGGCCGTGATCTCTGGCTTGCACCTGCAAACCATTCAGCTCCTCCTCGACCCTCGCCTTCCTCTCTGCTTGCGTCTCCACGACCTTCCTCAGCCCTTCGATCTCCGTGAGATCCTCTAACTCCCCGTCGAGCCCTACATCGCCCGCATCGGTGCTTTTCTCGGCTGCCTGAGCCGCCTTCTCTGCCGCTTTCATTGACTTCGTCGATACCATTGCGCCTTCCCTGGTTTAAGAGCTCAAAAGAACTCACTCTCGAGCCAGGCTATGATACCAGATGTTAGAAACAAAGTTTCTAACGGGTTTGGGAATTGGGAAAATAGCTAGATCAACTAGGGATTGACCGAGCTAGGGATTAGAATTTAGAGAATTGGGACAAGAGAGGGGAAGGGAGGGATCGCCTGCTGCCGAGTTTGGGGAAGAGGAAGGTGGAAAGGGAACGCAGGAGGGAGAGGAAGAGAGAGAGAGTAGGTTTAGGTTTTTGATATTTTATTGCTTAATGCAAAAATAACTCCCTACTGCAGATTATATAATCCGCGTAATTCTTATCTCCTACCCAACCAATTAAACATAACAATCGACTCCCTGTTTATTGCCCGAATTCCCCAAATAATCCCCCAATTAACAAAACTGACAAATAAAGCGAATTAACCAAAAGCTGCAAATTATTTGTTTCTAACAATGTTTTCAGAACCGGACTGGAAGCTGAACCGGAAAAGATAGTGGTTCATTGTTCAGTGGTTAATCGTTATAAAACCGCTAGTGAACCGTTTATAGAACCGAGCACACTTATAAAATAAAAAAGACATGGAATAGAGACTAATTCAAAACTGAAATTTCATCAACCATAAACAATCAAAATCCTTACTATCCATCACCAAAAATTCTGACAAATAATAAAATGATCTCACAAACAATCCAATGAAAATTATATCAAAATAAAGTCATCCTAATCCTGTTCTTATGGTTTTGAAAGGAATTGTTGTATAAATTTGTCTTTGAATCAATCATATCACTCGCATGGCCATGTTTTAAAGAATTAAAGAAAAGAAACAAGAACAATAGATATAATTGTATAACACAATAGAAAGAAAACAAAGACCAAAGCATAGATGAAGTAATATGATTCCCTTTATTCTTTTTTTTCCTTCACATTTTAATGTCATCAAAAGCAGACCGTTGGACAAATCAGGCCGTTCCGGCTTTGCGGTTTCCTTGGGAGATCGGTAAAAAACGTTCGGCCCATCAATGGCCACTTTATTATAGAGACCGGACCGCTACGGTCATCGATTGATGGTTCTCCCGGTCCGGTTCACCGGTTCGATCCGGTTTTTACAACAAGAGTTTCTAACAATTGGGTGCGACTATATGTCGGCGAAGTTGATTGGGTGATACCCATGCCTCCTTGCAGTCCACACTGGTCTCATTTTCGTAATCATCCGTAATAATAGTAATTGTACATTAACTCTATCTAAATCGCAATATTTAAATATTCAAACAACCAAACCGAACCGGATATAATGATGTCCTGCCATTCCTGGTCGAGCCCGCTTACGGCGTTAAATAGTATGGGCATGCGATAGCTTTATAAATTGCGCCTGGTCTAAAAAATGTGGAGCTGGGAACTCCAAGCAATGAAGCAATAGTGGCCAATCGTTAGCCCTTGAGATTTTGTCTAAAGGGAAGAGGGGCGAGAAGCCCCGAATATCTGCGGTTTTGCGGTAGCCATGGGAAGCACAAGCGCAGCTCTCTTCCCTAATTTGAAGCTCGTCCACGGCTGCTGCTCCTATAAACCCCTCGAGTCCATTGGACGACAGCAGCGCGACCATCATCACCAATTACAATTAACCTCGCCGTCGGCTTGCCGCGCGGACGAGAGTCTGCGGAGAGGGAGATTGAGATTTGGTGTTTCAAGGAGCAGGAGAAGCTTCGGAGACAGAGCGGTGTGCTTCGCGGCCGTGGATGATGGTGTCAGCGGGAAGCAAGAGGAAGCGTCGAGTTCTGGCGGCGGTATCGCCTCAGTTGTTGAGGAGAGGCCTGGTAAGCTCGAATGGATTGTTTTCATGATTATTTGATTTCCTCCGAAGTGGAATTTGTTATACTTGAAATCTGAGAGAAGTGTAAATTGGAACCTGAGATTGAAGTGATTGGGGATTGAGCAGATATTTCAATTTTGCTATTAGTAGGATAGGAGAAAGCCAACTTAAACATTGGTGAGAATTGGACAGGATGAAGGAAATGGTAGACACGGATTAGAAGGCTTGGGGAAGGAGAACAATCAGAATGTGCTTTAGTGAATGGAGAGACTGCTGAAGAGAATATCATGGATGGAAAGTGATCGAGAGGCAGAATTGTATAAAGGAAATGATTAGGAAGAGAGGAATTTTTGGGCAATTTAGAGGACAGGAAGGCAGTGGTATAGAGGAACCACAATTAGAAATAAGCCATTAGAAGTTGTCAAACTTGAGGTTAACATAATGCATGGTAAAGTCAATAAATAATGGAGCTGAATAGTTGATTATCAAAGAAAGGCAGGGATGCATGGAATTTGGAAGAGCTGGGAAAGAAGGGAAATTGAAGCAAAAATAAGTTAAGAGTCAGCATTCTGCAAGCAAGTTGATTGTTAAATATGGGTAGCAATTTGGGTCTGCAGAAATTGAGTCTGGTCAGAAGCCTACGTTTTTGTTGTGCATTGCCAGTGAATTTAGTACCTGTTATTGTTCCACTCGTGGATGCAGGCAACTATGTTTCAATAATTTCGACCACACTATTTTGGTTGCTCCTTATTGGATTGGCTGTCAGTCATTTTCGTTCTTTATGTATTCTGCTTTATAGCAACATGGTAAAGGCACAGGGATTGTCCATTTACAGAACTCACTAACACCATTTGAATCTCTCTCGTTCTGTTTGTTGGTGAGGGAGAAGGTTTAGTGAAGATTTATGCTGATATCTTCGCCACTGTTTTAACAACAGGGAACAATTGATAGAGATAAATATGCTTTCCCAGTAAATCAATTAATGTTTACCAACATGGGTTTAGTAAGTAATTGTATAAGGACTGTGTCACTTCAAATATTATCTTTACTTGGAAGAAATTCTCAAACTATTTTAAGAAGTAATTCAATGTCCTGAGGTCAGTGACCTGCATACAGTTTACCTCATCAGGCGTAATTTAACTTTTTTTGGGTACAAAGACGGACACAGAGGGGAGCCCTAACCCGTTGTATAAGGGGTTCTATAACTTCAAATTAATTTATTGGTATTCTTTTTCGATGCAGTTGAGAGCAAACAAGTGACCCCCGATCAAGAAAACAAAGGAGGTGCAATTTATGATTTCCTGTATCCAGACAAAGAGCTCCTTCCAGAGGACCAAGAAATGAGCTTGTTTGATCATCTTGAAGAACTGCGTCATAGACTATTTGTGTCAGTGTTGGCTGTTGGAAGTGCTATTGTGGGATGCTTTGCATTTTCAAAAGAACTGGTTATGATTCTCGAAGCTCCAGTTAAATCACAGGGTGTACGTTTTTTGCAACTTGCACCTGGAGAGTTCTTCTTCACCACTTTGAAGGTTAGTCAGTTTTAGATTTCCTCCAGTGGCTAACAATTGTGCCATGCTTGTTTATTCGTTCCTATTATAAACATCAACTTATAAAATAACTTTTATGTTCAATTGAAATCGACTAACACAACAGAACGATTGTTTCCGCAAGTACCCATTTTTGTCTGACAATCAACTTGTTGAAGCAATGTAGGTGTCAGGGTACTGCGGCATACTTCTGGGAAGCCCGGTGATTCTGTACGAAATCATAGCCTTCGTACTTCCAGGTTTAACAAAAGCCGAAAGACGGTTCTTGGGGCCAATTGTGTTAGGGTCATCAGTACTTTTCTATGCAGGAATCGTCTTCTCGTACTTGGTGCTGACGCCAGCAGCCTTAAACTTCTTCGTGAGCTATGCTGAAGGTGCTGTAGAATCCTTGTGGTCCATTGATCAGTACTTTGAGTTTGTCCTCATCCTCATGTTCAGCACAGGCTTGTCTTTCCAGGTAGTACAACCTCTCGTTACTTTCCCTCAGTTCTCCCATCTTTCTTTGCGCTGAGACCTAGTATCGTGAATACATTGGTACAGGTTCCGGTTATCCAAATTCTGTTGGGGGGTGTCGGACTAGTTTCAGGAGACCAGATGCTCTCAATCTGGAGATACGTGGTCGTCGGCGCAGTTGTTGCAGCCGCTATACTCACACCTTCTACTGATCCTCTAACTCAGATGCTCTTAGCCGGGCCACTGCTCGGGTTGTACTTGGGTGGGGCCTGGGTGGTCAAGCTAACCGGTCGATGAGTAGGAACTTGCCGAGTTTGCAAAATGGAAGGAAGGAACGAATGAATATGAAGCAGATGATATAACTAGGAGGGAAAGGTGAGGAAACAGTCCTGTACGTGTATATTTGTAGCCGGAAAATAGTATATAGCAATGCCATGGGTTAGGTAACGGAGATTATAGTCAACCAAGCCAGACAAACCAAACCAGTCCCACCCAGCTCAGATTTGGCTGTCACCATGT